TCAAGCACCCCGACAGACCAATATTCCTCGAGCATTGTTAAGAACCCCCACCTAAATGTTAAACAACGCAGAAAGGCACCGGAAATTTCGGAAAGGACCAAAAAGAGGCTAGAGAAAATCGATACTCAAAATTCCCCCGTATACTTTTATGTGAAACAACTTTTTCGGACTGATTGTGACACCTCAAGTTGCATCGCGCCGAAAAGTGACACTTCCCAAGGTATGTGAACCATAATAACAAACCCCCCTCGACCTATTTGGATTTCCCCGATTCGACACTATTTACCCTCAGCTGTCCCACTCTTCGAAATTCAGGCCAGGTTTCGATTGAATCCTTTCCCCCATCGGCCATATTTGGCCGAGATTTGGATTGAAATCTCTCCCATTAACACGAACACAACGTCCGCTTGGACCGCAAAGCCTTTCGCCAGCTCCACAAGCCCTGGTGCCAAAACATCAGTTTCGCTGGGAACTTGTTCCGAAAGCGAGTTTCATCGTTGAACAGGAAGAAAGCCTTTGCTCAGCAAGGAAGTGCCTGGAGCATGAGCCCTGGGCACCGGCGAAAAAAAAACTGGCCCATGGCGTCGGCGTCCGTGCCAGCCATTTTCCTCTCGAGTGGGTTCGGGAGGCATTTTGCACTTTCTCTGCACTTTTCATTTGTTGTGTTATTAGTTTTTACAAAGAACTTAGATAGGTTATTCTTAACAAGAGGTTACGCCAAGTAGTTCCTTCAAACTTCGAGTGGGCTAGTCCACTCAGTGGCTTCCAAGGAACCAGCGAAAGAGCAGCTACCCTCCCAGATCCCCTCTGGGAAACAATTTCTATCAAATCTTGCGCATATTTTCGTAATGAGTGGTGTGTATGGAAGGGTTGAATATGCCCGCTCACGAAATTTTACACTTCAATTTTAGCAGGCAGAATGTGAATTGCCAGGATGGCTTATTCCCTCAGGGTTTTCTTTTCAACCATGGTTGTTCTCGTTCGGCAACGGGGGGGGGGGGGGCATTTTGCTTTCCATCGATGTGTCGACCCATCTAGATAGCCTTTTCTTGAGTTGACACGTTTTACCATGGTGGCTAGACGAGCTTGCTCCAGCTTCAGTGTTCACAAGTTTCACCAGAGTGAGACTTTAGACCGGAAGTAGTGAAGCAGTGAATGCCCCCCCCTCCCCCCCCGTGGCCGAAGCGCCTTCTCAAATTCCTCTGGTAAAACTAAATTCGCTACATTTGGCGGAGATATTATGTAATAGAGGTTGAACGAAAAGTGAAATGAAAAGGGGAGAAGGGATAGAAATCTTCGTTGAAATTAGGTCGTGATGGTGAATACTTGGTCGGGAAAGATGATGATCGAATATCGATGCGGAGCGTAATAAACACATTCGCCCGACTTTGTAATCAGTTTTGTTCGAGTAGTGTTAGGCTGTTGGTCTAATGAGCTGCTCTGTCTTCTCTCCCAGTGCCCAGATTTCAACGAGCTGCTGCTGCTTTCCATTACACTATGTCATTCCTCCAGCTTATGTGAAATCAGAACTGAAAATGATTTCAGCACTGGCATACGGCGTTCATAACAGTGCCCCGATCGGCGAGGTGCGCTCAAGACAGAGAGGTCGGCCGCGTGCCTCTCCTTCACTTACTTAGTATTTCGCGTTGGCCGTTGTGAATAAGTGACCTGGCCGCACACAAGCCCCGTCCAGAGGTTTCTCCGTGGGTACACGTGGCCGATCGGGCGTCGTCGATACGCTCCCCCGTCTGGTCGCACTCTCTCGCTCCTCCTCCTCCTCGCCGGGCCCCCTTTGTGGCTGGCGCTCTGACTGACCCTCTTCCTTGGCTACTCGTTCTCGTCGAGAATGATTTACTATAGTATGTGATGGCCTGCATTCGTTTTGGTTTCCATCCCCGAATCGTATCTCTCACATTACTGGAACACTTACTTACTCGCCAGTTCATTACCGTATTAGTGGTCGCTTTATTTGTTCATTAGCCACTAACGTTATTTATTACTATCAGTTTATTTGCAGAAGATCGACAGGAAGGCGTATGTGTCAATAAGAGAAGCTGCTGACAGATCGCACCCTCATCGCTTCAGCTCGTACTCACCCGCTTTCTTGTGCTGCCAATCACTACTGCTAACGTGTTACCGCCAAAAAAACTCACAACATTAACACATCTATTTCGTTTATCGATCGTTTTGTGAATTAGGTTTCGTGTGAATGTTGAAGATAGTCGTGATTCCTTGAATTCTCCTCTATGAATTATGCATTGCTTTACGGCGTGGATAGCTTTTTTCCGGCACTAATGCTACGTTGTGCTGCCACTTTTCGTCCACTGGCTGGTTAGGTCCGCTACAGCCGTCCGCGTACGATTTTGTCCAACTAATCGATAAATGTGATATTTATATACTCGAGGGGTGTGTTTACGTTCGAAAGATGGCCTGTGAGATACGCTGATCCCTATGAGCCATTCTATCGGTCTTGCTGCCATTTCGTTACCTCTCATTCCCGCTCCTCCACCTTTCAGATATTCTCGTCAGATTTCTCTATTTTTCCATTATTTTTCCATATTTTTCGAGCATCCGATCGTCTTTTGCTGCTTTCCTCCGAGGTGTAATCCTGCCAGCTTTCAGAAAACTTGTCGATTTTACCATGAAGTACCTGGTGTTGGCCGCATTGGTTCTACAAGCGCTAGCCTCTCATCACAGTACCGATCCCGAGAAGGATGCCGCCCATCAGAAGGTAGGAGTCATTATTTTTTTCTTCTTAGTAATGGAAAATTTTCTCTCTAGACGTAGAAGTCATTACCATTTGTCTCAAGGAACAAAACGTGAACTTTCAAATTTGAATAATAGAACTAGTAATTTTTACATGATTGTACACAATCGTTCCGTGTTGTACGATTTGCAAGGTAATATGCATCGTCAGCATAAGGAACAGTTGTCCGAAGGCGAGATGGCGACTTTACAACGACAGGCCGCCAGATCGCCCTTAGAGAAGGAAAAAAGGGGTCGCCCATACACGCCATCATGTCTGTGGTGTGACCACAGAGAGAGCGGAAATACGTCAGAATTTGCGTCCTTCTTACGAAAAAGTAATTCCACAGATAGAATTCGTATGAACGTATCATCTAACGTGGATCATTACGGAACATGCAGAACGTAATGGACAGCAACAAAGCATTAGACTAGTACTCGCAGGATAGTACTTATTCTGGAATGCCCGTCAGCATCTTTCGGTGGGCCATAGAACTGGTTGGGGGTTCTCCTGCTCTTGAACCATATGGGTGAAATTTCCAATATTTAGGAATATTGATGGGGTTGAGCGAAAAAAACTGCCCAAGACAAGTAGACCATGAGTCATTTCGTGCCCCACGACGGAGAAGAATGCAAACAGAAATTGCCTGCTCCAACCTAGCCTTGAACGTAGTCATATCTGGCCTGTACCATTGATCGCTCCAAAGGTTTTGCACTAGACGGCAAGAATCGAAAATGGCCATTTGCCGAATTTGGTCGCGAACATGACAGGCCAGATCGATAGTGGAATACTTGAATTTGAAATGGCTTGAAAACAACGGGCTGATGCCCGGTTTTTTATTCCCCGTGGGCGTGCTTCCCGATTTAAAGGCAAACCCGGCGGCTGCGAATTGTCGGTAGTGGTGTTCAATAACGGGCCTATAGTCGCTAAAAGTTCTTCAAAAAAAAAGGTATATAAAAAAATTATACAGAACACTGTGAAGTCCCCCTGGCTGCCTCACTGTACGAGTTGTCCGGAGCTGCTCGTTTTATGCCAGCAAGGCGATATCCTGCCGCCTTTAACTTCTTTATCACATAACGGTGAAAAAAAACTAAAAATAACTGTGAAAACTGGTCTTGTGACAGGAAGTAGCTCTGTAGTTTTGGTGGGCGGTACAAGTTGGGAGGCGTCAGAACTGCCATTATGAGGGCCGCAGCGTCTTCCTTACTTCCTGTGAAGCTGCGAAAGTCGAGAGAAAGGACATTCTCAGAGACTGAGAGCTAGACCACATCTACGAGGAGGGACACACGAAAAGGTTGAGCGCGGGGACTATTCCATTCCATTCCTTGGGAGAAAATCGGCTTCAGGTGGCTGCAAAAGACACGTTACTCCTTGCATATTGCTTTGCTTGCTTGCTTGCGTGTTTTCCATGTTAAAGCTCAGGAATTGGTAGCGTTATATATACCCTTGGAGAGGATCACTCTCTAAAGAAGCTGAGCGACATCGTTCGTGCTTGTCTGCACCCTCTCACTGAGGCAGCGGTCTGGGACGTCAGAGGATGCGACTTCCACTGCAAACTTTCACTACCACGACGTGGCTTTGTCGCCGAAGAGCATGCTATCCCCGCACTGCAGCATCCTAAGCAAGTAGCATGACGTGGCTGAGCCCCGCTGTGGAGCAGCACCTCTCCTAGCATATACTTCCCTATTAGTTGGCGATATAACATACGTTATTTATCGTCTTGTTGGACTTCTTTTACTACTAGTAGCAGTGCGGAGAATGAAGAATCGGGACCACACCAACATGGCTAGTTCGCGTTGGGTCGCCATTCGTCAATTTCGTGTCATATCGCTTTTCTTGTTTAGTTATGGGGTGTTTCAGGGAGGTGAACACGATGCCAAGTACGATCATGACCAGTTTCTTGGTAAGGACACTGCGGCTGAATTCGATGAGCTCACACCAGAAAAGTCAAAGGAACGACTAGCGTGAGTCGTCGAGATATCTTCCTTTTGTATGCTGCTCATTTTTATATCTGAAGTTTTCAATGTACAAATGTGAATATAAAAGGATTACTAACTTTCAGAAAATTGATTCCAAAAATGGACGCTGATGGTGATGGCTTTGTTGAGGAGAAAGAACTCAGGGAACACATCAACTTCATGCAGAAGAGGTGTGTACAGTGGTTTTGTTGCAGATGCTGGGACGTGTCAAAGGCTGCGTGTGGCGCGGCGCCAGGACGTTATCCACCAGTCACGGTAGCTCACCCCTTCAGCTATTGGTGGAGGGTGAGCTAGCGCCGCGCCAAACCGAGCCGTGCTGACACCCCCACGAGCAAGGCTGTAATAGCAATAAATGGATTCCGTTCTCAATAGTTCTATACAACTTTTTTATAGATATGTGAATAATGACGTTGAACGCACCTGGAAGAACTACAAAGACGACAAGATCGTTGACGGCAAGATCAAGTGGGAAGACTACCGGTAAGTTTTCAGTAAAGCGAGAGTAAATAAGGAGAATCTACTTGGCTATTGCATTGTAATGTTATTTCAGAGAGATGGTCTATGGATCACCAACAGGTGAAGGACAAGAGCTTTCTCCCGAATACGCCAAGATGATTGCACGTGATCAAAAGAGGTAATTAATGATAACACAGAGTAGTACCTTTTGCGTTTTGAGGGGTCATTTCAGCCTGTAGGCACTTTGAACAGGTCCCAAGAAACCCTCCAATGTTTGTTGGACCAGAGGTGGGGACCTTTATAGAGCAGCGTCTACTCGGAATAGAAAGGTGTGAGTTTCACAACAGAGCACCCTAGAAGACTCGCTTAACAACGAGGGCTCCGTCGCGGGTAACGGAAGGACCGAACAGAGAGAGAGGGTCACACTGTTGTCCTACAAGAATCACTGTAACAGGTTCCAAACCCAATTTCCAATTATAGGTGGGCAGTCGCCGACTACGACTCCAATGGTATGCTTGACCGCACTGAATACGGTTGTTTCATGCACCCGGAAGACTGCGACCACATGCGTGACGTCGTCGTCGCGGTAAAGTTCTTGCTACAATTTCATTCAACTAGTACAGGTTAGATTCAGGGCACACTATCGGGATGTGTGAAATAGCGGTGCCAGTGTCACTTCCATAGGCCATCTTTGTGCAAGTGACACTGGAAATATGTGAAGGGTCGCAGCGTAAGCTGTGAAGGGTACCCTGCCCCGTCCACAACCTTACCGCTGCGCCCCCAGGCATATTTCGCCTGCAACCAAAAAGGATCGCTGTCGCGGTTGGCAGGGCGCGTTGTGGGAGTGAATACGTCTCCCTGAAAAAGTTGGCATACTTATGATGCTTGCCGAAAAGTTTTGCTATTTAAAGTAGGAATATAAAGAGGGCTATGCATTTCGATATGGTAAGTTCAACCTGTCAGCAATTACGTCGTATATAAGAAACAATTACGGGACAGCGTGTATATAATACTGAGCATCTCCTAGCTAGTTGACTTGTCGCAGTGCAGAATTGCCGCGTTGCATCAGTTGGGTACTGGTGGGAATGCGGCCACGTGATTCCGTTTGCAACTTCTCTTTCCACCGTCGTAGGATGTGCCAAACCCCTGCAGAAAAATGGCGTCGCGATGCTAAGTTACCACCACTGAATTATTGATCAGGTTGTGTGATCTACAGGGTGAGACCTTGCGCAGGATGAATGATGTTCAGGTTTGGAGGTGGTCAGATTTTACTTATGCGGCATTACACCATTCAAGCTCGACTCGAATAAGTTTCCCGCAAACAAGATCACAAGTTCAGGAAGTCAGGGTGTATACAATATCCCCGAAATTTGCGCGCGGAATCAAAAATGTCGTACTGGGAACGCACAAAATCAGAAATCTCAGGCCCTCAACTGCCACTCAGGGAGCGACCCGCCTGCCCAGACAGGTGCTCCCACCCGCGGCCGGGTGCCGTATCTCGAGCACTGAGGCTGAACAGTGTAGTCAGTGACAGTGAGATAATGAACGGTGTAGTCCCACAGCGCTCTGCTCTGTGCATTCACAAACCGACACATTCAATTTCACGCGCATTTTCGGGGTACTGTGTCCATCCTGACTCTCTGAACTTATAGTATTATTCCCGCAAAAAGAAGTCCCAATCTCCCAAGCCGGTTTACGGCGACTACTGCTTTTTCAGATCTACTCAAATAAGCTCGTTCCGAAAACCGCGCGTCAATATCTTGATTCCCTAGTCCAGTTTTATCCGCGCGTGCATATTGAAGAAGTTCTGTTCAGGAGACCGTTGAGGATATCGACAAGAATAAGGATGGGTTCGTGGACTTGGACGAGTACATTGGAGATATGTACCGCCCAGACGACTATCCTGAGCTCAACGGAAAGGTGAATCACTTAAGGAGTCCGGAAATTTTCTTCAAGCTGTTCCAAATTTAGGAACCCGACTGGGTCCAGTCTGAACGTGAAATGTTCAAGGAACACCGAGACAAGGATGGAGATGGCAAAGCTTAATCTAGGTGTGATCTGAGAAACGCTAATTATTGGAAGAAAACTGTAAAAAGTCAATTATGTTATTGTATGTTTCGAGAAGAGATGAAGGCGATTGATTATGCTGTTGGTTTTGATCACGCCGAAGCTGAAGCCCCGTCAATTTGCGTCGAATCGCTTGATGACAATAGGTGCAGACTATTTCGCGTCCTGATAAATTGCTAAAGTTTCAAGTTAGAGTAGGCAACCGCTGTGAATCCGGTTATGGTTCCGGATCTAGCGTGGTGCTGGAATGACCAATCACAGCGTCTCCGTAACAGGTGAGTGATGATTCAAGGTTGAATAAGACCGACCTCCGATTTGTTATTTGTGTATAAGAGTGAGAATGGAGAAAAGCGATAACAAAATAACAAAGTGGTAATAGAAAAACGAGTAAATAAGTGCGCCCAAAATGTGGGCGGGGTGTCTGGGGCGGAGGCCAAATGTGTCGGCCCTTGTTTTTATCCCAGCTATTCAATTATTTTACTCTTTCAGGATGGCAAGTTGTCACCGGAAGAGATCATCGCTCATTATGACACGTTTGTGGGATCACAAGCCACCGATTATGGCGAGCAGCTCCAGAAACACGATCCAGCAGAGCTGTAATTTTGAGCAACGCAATATTTCATCATAAAATATGTCTAAGTGGGGATAGTTACTGCCATGGCTAGTAGCTTACGTTTGATTGTAGCATCGTGCATATGGTACTGGTTAATGTGCCTTGCTCTCTGCTCTCACTCAAATCAATATAATATTTTCCGCAAACAGGTCATATCTTATTTCTTATTTTTTTTCTCGCCCATTTTTATTCTGCTGTTGGCCTCTCGACTTTCACTGGTGTTGTTTCTTTGTTTTGTCCGTTGATTAATTATTTGGAGTGTAATAAATGAACCAAAGTTCTCTTTACAAAGTCGTACCGAATTCAAAGTGGCAACTGATAAAGAAAAGGCTCTCATTGTTGAACAGTTCACTTTTGGAATGAGCCGTGCAGGGTATTTAGTTCCATCAATCAGATTGTAGTCGCGTGTCGGGATGCAGTTAGTCGCTACAAGTTACCAACAATGGCAGGGCTAGTCGACTGTCTAGTAAACGTAGTTATGTTTCCTGAAGGGTTTGAGCATCACAGTTACAGGCTGTAAAGCACAAACAGTTGACATCTTGAACGAGCAAGGGAGTTGAGTACGGTGCTGACTTGAATGTAGGCGACGGCGCTCTTTCGCTAAGCGATATTGCCCGTAGTCACGGCGCACCAATTCCGAGGACGGTTTCACAGTCCATCTCCAGTTCTGAAGGGGAGTGTCCAAACGCACAAGTGGGGAAAGGCCATGATGGGTACTTCGTCAGTGTGGGCCACAGACATCTGGAGCAGACGGCTTACAATATAATGCAATAGCAACCTCTCACCTTACCGCTTCACTGAGCATGACAACTGTCGCAGGTTAACAACCGGCTCTTACTGGCTAATCCCCGTGGAAACACCTCGCTAAGCGATTAAACTCCTTACCAAGCATTTCTTTGCCACACTGCATAGTCTTGTACACTGTGGATGCTGGGGTGTGTCAGGATCGCTGAGCATGACGTGGCGCCATCCCGTTTTCCACCAATCGCCTCAGGATTCGCAGCGAAGAGGACTATACTGTATGCAATGCGACCAGAAAGAAAGAAAGAAAGGAAAAACGGTCTTGGCGTCAGAGCCTCATACCCCAATTTATCAGTGTGGACCGGTTCTTAGGGCAACTTGCATTGCCATTCACTGGGCGAATCATTAAACAGAAATGACGAGCTCAGAAGCCAAGAACTCATTGCCTTCTGAGTTGTTGTTTGAGTAACCATAGATGACTATCGCCCGATTCCGATTGATAATCAGTAAATCACCCCATACATATAATTTCGCTTTTCTGTGTGTTTGTTTGTTTGTTTTGTTTCGTGAGTTTTGTAAGTTGTAAGTTTGTCTGTCCGGAAATTCGGTTCGACCTGAAGAACGACTTGGAGAGGTCCAGTCAAGGTGGGGATAGGTAGGGCATGGGACAAGAAATAAAAAGCACACTTGACCTATGGCAAGCCCCGCCCACAGTGGGCGGGGCACTCGCCGAAAGTTTGGGGTTCCGCAGAAAAATGTTCATAATTCGCTTCCGGAGCAGCTTAAAGATGGGGAAAAAAGGGACTAAGGTTAGTAAGGAGTCGCCAGACTAACTGTGGCAGGTACACCCTAAATGGGCGGGGCGTACTCAAGGTGGGCGGTGCTTCTCGCAAAATTCAGTAACCCGGTTCGCGAGAGTGTTTGGAAGTCGCAAAAAACTCAGTGTAGAATGTAAATATCCGGCGAATATAGGGCACGCTCAAAGTGTGTTGAGACCCGCCCACAGTGGGCGGAGCTTGCCCTAAATCGCAGGGTATTCATTTAAAAGTTTGTAAAGCTCGCGTTTCATGAACACTCAGCATTACCGGGAAAAAAAAGTGAATTCAGGTCAGCAAGGGGTCGCCGATTGAGAAATGTGGGGTAGACATATTGTGGGCGGGGCCAGCCCGAGGTGGGCGGAGCCAGACGAAAATTCTCTAAAACTGTCCCAGAGCACTTCAAAGACCGGAAAAAACGTGGATTAAGGTCAGTAGAGGGTCGCCGGTGAGGATTGTGGGGCAAAAACATTGTGGGCGGAGCCTGCTCCGAGGTGGGCGGAGCTAGACAAAAAGGTCTGTAAAACGGTTCCAGAGCACTCCGAAGACGGAAAAAGTGGATTAAGGTCAGCAGAGGGTCGCCGGTGAGGATTGTGGGGCAAAATGCAGCGGGGCTGCTCCGAGGTGGGCGGAGTCAGACGAAGAATCTGTAAAATAGCTCAAGAGTACTTCAGACACCGGAAAAAAGTGGAGTACAGAACAAAAGGCGGATATCAGTTGAGTCTAGAAATATGTGAAAGAAAATACGCGCGGCGAAGCCGCGCTCGCCCGGCGCAGCCGGGCCGTATCAGAAGGAGGCGCGCCGGCGTTAGCCGGCGAGCCGACTGGTTAGCAAATAGATTTCTGTCGGAATTACACTTTTCAAGATGAAGTTTTTTTTCTTTGCTGCTCTCAAGAAGGCATTGAAAGCCGTCTTGCTAGTACCTTGTCGCTTTTTTCATGCAAGAACTTGCTTAGTAACCGCGACAAGATTGATGGTTTTAGTGTGAGGCAAAAATATCTAAGGCCACTCCACCATTGGCGCGTTCCATACAAGATGGACGATGAGTCGTATCTGATTAATATCTTTCGCGGGGTGCGCCACGCACTCAACTTTCGTCAAAAACCGTAGTATATTTGAGGCTTGGCTTTTTAATGTTTCTTCGAGCTACAAATTGAAAGCTATTGAGACAGGCAATGAAAAAGTCCGATGCTCGTGAACCACCTGGTGAGATATAAAAACAGATAATTGTTTGATAACTGTGTTTAACGCCGCAGTACGCGATCCGAAAGCTATCACAAGAATGCTGAGTTATGGGCAAAAGTCGGACCACGGACGGGATTCGAACCCGCATCTTCTGCTTACCGGGCAGTTGCGTTCCCTATTACGCTACCGAGGTCACTTTTGACCACTCAGCTCAATGGCTATTCTCCGTAAGACTCGTACTAACATATCAGATTGGAACAGAGCTCATAGCTAATCGAATTTGTGCTAAAATTAGTCTGCAAGATTTAAGTATCGCTAGGTCGTGGTAGTCAGAAAAATAAGAACTAATGTGTGAATGAGCTAAGAGGTGGTGAAAAATGGTGTCGTCCGGTAGTTGGATGTGAAAGCAGCTTTATCTGGTCGTGCCCTTAATTCGTAATACTGTACTGCGTAGCGCCCTATGAAGGCACAGGCGTTCACCGTAACCAAACTATCAAAAACAAGCTTCACGATTACCCGGGATGGGTTCGAGATGAATAGGTGTAGTACCTGAAGAATACCCCAATCGTCAGTAAAAAATGAGCGAAAAAGGATTAGGAGGCTGTGACAGCTGGATGCTCTTTATGTTTTCGCAGCCGATTCAATACGCGACGAGCAGATCACAGACATGCAACACGCCACACGACCAGAATTACGCCTAGCCGTAGCTACACGTGCTCCTTGTCTGTGCACTCGCACCCTTGACAGGGGAGCCGCTGTTACGGTTCGATTTCCGCAGGTTGGCTATAGCCCTAGCATAGCACGCGGTCAATCCACATAGTATGCATGTCTGCCGTTTGTTGCGTTCTCTGTGCCATCCATCACTTTTACGTTCCTATCTGTTATCTTATCTTGTTACCTGGCTGAGCACGGTGGGAGTAATGAATACCCCCTTCAACCACCCCCTCCCCCTTCCCCATCACCTCACCTCAGCAGAGCATGGACCACCAGAAGGCCCTACGTCAGCATGAATGTCATAGCCAAACGTGCTACTTGTCTGTGCCCCCTCAGTTCTGGTTGTTCTCCACCGCTGAGTTCTTCTTTCGCTGCAGGATCTTGGCATCTACTCATGTGCTGCACATTTAGAATGACAAGGGCATGGCATGGGAGACGGCAGTGGGGTATCACCACTCTACAGCCCCGTTCCCGTCCGTTTTTGAGCGGAGAAAGTGGCACGCTACGGCAGTTGCAGATTTACCTTGCACACGGCAGGGAGGGACCGTCTTCGTTGGTCAGTGTGCAGTTTGTTTTTAGTGTGAAAGTTACACTAGACGACATTCTTCCAGCCGGTCTCGTGCACGGTCTACAGTGATCGCTTCTGGGAACTGGATCACAGCTATAAGCTGGTTTAGGTAGATCACTGCCCTTCCTTTCGCTAGTTGTGATTGATGTTTTCGTGGATATTCGGAGCCGAAGTCGCAAAAAGGTCAAAAAGCAGGCGAACTGATGTTCTTGACGGTTTCCGTGGGCTCGGAATTCCTTGAACATGGATGTCTTCCATGTCGAAGAGTGAGTGCATGGGAAGTTATTCAGTTTATGCTCGATGAATTGCATTTTCCCCTTAAGCTTCTCCAGTGATTGAGAATTGGCCCAGTCGCACACTCGAAACCTCTGACATGTGGTGGGCGTGGTTGCGTACTTTAACTCAACGTGGCGGTGACTGTGCTTTTGGTGAGATATTTTCATTTCGACACGACTGTGGTGGTGTCCCTGTCCAGCCGTGAACAAGATGACAGTTGTCTCAAACTACAATATCCCAGGAGTAACCCATTCTACACTTTACATCACCGCAATTGTCGGGTCGCAATCAGCGACTCGCACCTGCGGCATTTCCATCATTGGTTGCTCCCGTCGATCTTTACCCAATTCGCATTGGTAGAGCAGCGAGGACGCCGAAACGCGGCCATTTGACGCGCGCGTTGCAGCAACCGCCCTGCCGACTGTCCGGCAGTGATAAGGACGTATGCCAAGGAATATGCCACGCCCGCTTCGTCTCGGGGTATGATGAGCCCCTGCATGGTAAATACTGGTCCATTTTCATCTCACAACCTTGTCAACATACAAGAAACACCTAACAAACGCTTATGTCCATAATTACTGATAACCTTTGAGATGAATGAAATGAAGTCATCGCCGTCGATCAGTCCCTTGCTGAAATTTGGCACATCTGCTTTCTTTCAACGAGATGTGACATGAAATGACTTAGGGGGGAGGGGGGGTAGCGGCCTGTACAAGTCAGTTTTCTCTCGCCTCACCGGAACGAATCTGGTGGGCGGGCAGTTTAAACGTCCCCGGGGGTAGAAGGCTTGCTATGGCGTTGGAGGAGGTGACCCTCGACCGCGCGCATAGCTTAGGGTGGGCCACATATTCACGGCAACCGGCTCCGTCACACTTTTGAGGTAGCTAGGAATTTCTGAAGTTGATGCTTACTGTTCATTGTATTTGACGAATTCTGCACGAAGTGACGAAGCCGAGCCTTGACCTTTTGAAATGACTTATGCATCTTGGATTTGATCTACTCGCATACTAATACCAGTACAATATCTCGATAACAATTGAAGGAGGGACTCGATCGGTGGAGTTCTAATGCATTTTAACCGGATTCGCGCAGGAGTAAGCTGCCTTCAAAACCTGACCTGAGAGAATTTCGGAGCGCCTATCTCGGTACCGTCCTTTGGAGCTGTCTGCAAAACGCGCCTATTCCTTCCAGAAATTCGATCCCTAATCAGGAATGGTGAGTTCTTGTGAAACAGGGTGCCAACATAGGCGATTTAATCTCAATTAGGACCAAAGCGTCACGTTTTTGCCCCGCGAAACAGAAGAGCGAAATGGTAGAAACCTTAATCCTAATAACTTCGTTGTTACTTTGAACTTTGATTCTGTTTACGCTATACATGCACCTAGTAAAGCTACTAAGGGACTACTGTAAAGAATCAAAGCTATGTACAGGGTTTGCTGACCGATTTGGGGTGGGGATTCGCATCGAGACCCCCCGTATCTGGGAGGAGATCTCATCCACGACCACCAACCACCATCATCGCTCGTGTCCCACTTAACCGGCGGCTGTAGCGAACATGTCGTCATTGCTATCGATCTTCATATCGATCGGAATCGCCCACGCATTCGATGTGCCATGCACTCGTGAGTTCTGTTGCTCACTTTTGAATATGGATAGGTATCACATCACAAATGATTTCATCTACACGTGTTGATAGCGCACCCTATAGCGGTAATTGCTTTGTTTGCTGGGTGAACAATGGCTGATTGTACGATATTTCTGGACCTTATGGCCCAGAAGACGTTCCTTCCGTAGACTGTTTTCTTTGAATTAGGACTATCGATTTGTTGAGTGATCATCTGAGATCAACTCGCTGTGCTAAAAGTACAGTATCAGAGCTCATACTGCTTGAAACATGAATTTCTCACTAAATCTATGCTTTCATGCTCAGATAATTTCTTTAGGATCCAGCATTTTCTACCAAATATTATTTAACAGTTTGCTGTATTACTTAGTACTAGTTAAAATGCCAAAAAAAGTCGAGGCAAGCCAAAGCTCACTCTTTTTGAAGTTTCATAGGAGTTTCTTCAATTCGAGCATGAGAATTAGCTCTTCACTGCTAACGTTTTCCAGTGAGTATGCGCTCATGAGGCTCTTGTTTAGGGTATTGAAAACCAATGCGTTCTTTACAAGTACTACTTTTTTCGGCTTGTTCCAGTTTTCTTGGGTTTTTTAACTTTATTTTATTCTTCAGTTATTGTTCTGTCTTCTCCGAATCCAAAATTTTCAGTAAATAGGAAACAGCTTCTGCAGGATTGGTAGGGGGGAAAGAGGTCATATTCCACCTAGTCTTCTCCCGGTTCTTCATTCTTTCCATTTCACTTCCGCATTTTTTTTCCATTTCCGCCACCCCTTCGCCTTCTGCTCATGCACGATGGATACTCTTGGAGAAGATCGGTGAGGGAAGTGGGTTGGGAATGGGAGTCATACCGAATGGAGGATAGATTCGGGGGCAGGGGGGGGGTCGTCAGTGTGGGCAGAACATTTCCAACAACACGCCAGGGGCGAGCTCTGTTTTTCAAAAAGTAATCTTGTCACAGCTTTCTCTTGCAATTTCATGAAATGTGTGCTTATCAAAAATTCATTCGATTCAATAACTTTCTTATGGAAGTGAAAATCAGTTCATTGCAATTTGTTTTGAAATTTATGTTGCAATTTACACTAAAATTATTGAACATCTTCTTATTTCTGCCCTTAATCGAGACAAACAGGTTGCGCAAATGATGGATTGCAGATGCCCACGGATTATCTTTGATGAATCATTTCAAAGCGAAACGCAAGCGTTCTGCTGAAACCGGCAAGATTTCAATTATATATGCGTACACATGTACACTGTACATCCCAGCGATGGAGTAGGCGTGGCTGCGTACTTTACTTGAACATGACGTCGGATGCATTGTTTGTGGGGCATTTTGTGTTTGATTACAAGTGTTGCCCTATTTGTAGTAGACACAGGTGTAGTTTACAGCAGTTCTGAAAACGGCGATATCCTCGGCTGGACGAGCTGCCGCGATCTTTCGAACGAAGTACGCAGCTAGCAGACTGTGCGGCACCTCTAGGATATGAGTGTACTTTTCTTCTATTAGGTTGTCCGGAAAGTTCTCAGCGTTTTGGGTGTTTCACTTTAAACGATCGTAACTTTTTAATACTCATCGGATTTAATCGAAATAGGCACCATTCGAATCAGCACACTTTTGCCAATGTGACAGCAGTCGAGAAATCCCATAAAAGGAAAAACTGGGTGGTCGAGAATCCACGAAATCTACGAAGGTCTTTTTTGCCTGGTCCTAATTGATGAAGTATTTTCAGCAAGGAGTTCTGAAAATGTTAGAAAAGGTGATAGTCGGTTGGCGAAAGGTCTGAAGAATATGGCGGTTGAGGTAGAACTTCAACCCCCAATTCGTTCAATTTATGGATAGTGATTTGTGAAACGTGTGGGCGGGCGTTGTCATGCAAAGGAATCGGACCCTTTCTTTTGATAAGTGTTGGCTGCATCTGACAAAATTTTCGGTACAATTCGTCGATTTCTTCACAGTAGGGTTCTGCTGTGATGGTTTGGCCTGGTGGTAAAAAGTTATAGTGGATCACACCAGCCGATGACCACCAACCGTGACCAGAATCTTTTTTTTCGTGAGGGTTCGGCTTTGAAAATTACCTCGGTGGTTCGTCGAAATCCAACCACTGTCCGGAACGTCTCCTGTATATCATACATGACCCATTTTTTCATCACAGGTGACAATTCGGCCCAAAAAAGCACGGTCGTTTCTGCTGCGCAAAAGCAATGCAGAAGGAACCTCGAGACGTGCCGATTCCTGCCGGTCACTCCGATTGTGGGGCACCCAATTGTCGAGTTTTTTCACCTTCCCAATGCGTTCCAGACCATCTGCAACAGTGGATTTGCCAAGGCCTAGCTCTTCTGCTATCTCTCGAACTGTTTGGGATGGGTCAGCCTCCAAAATCCCCCTAAAATCCTCGTCAGATATTGCTTTAGGTCGACCGCTATGAGGTTCATCTTCAAGGCTGAAATCTCCAGAACGAAATTTGTTGAGCCATTGCCGCACAGTGCTTTCTCTAGCACTATTGGGCCCCCACACCTGGTTAATTTGTTGAGCTGTTTCGATTGCGGATTGCCCCAATTTATAGTCGAAGAAAAAAATCGTCCGAAGTGCTCTTTTCACATGCTTGAAAAAATCTTGAAAAAAGGGGTTTATCAAGCAATGGTGAAACGGCATTTACCATCAGATAGCGCAAGAAATTCTCTACAGGATGTGCTACTGAGAAGCAAGGCAGAATGAGTTTTTAATCAGCAGTGAATGTACAAAAAATAGGTGCACAAAACGCTGAGAACTTTCCGGACAACCTAATACATTTCATGCTTTGAGCACATTTCGTCCCACTTTAGGGCCGAGCTCAGTGTACATTGGTGAAACTTATGTGTCTATTGGTGATGTCCCACTGTAATGGACATTTTTGGCAAAAGCTATTGTCAGTCAAAGAAAAGAGGAATTCCGCCAAGGAACTCTGAGGGTGAGGGTGAATGGGGTTTCGGAACTCGAAACTCTTAATCATGCGAAAAGAAGTTTTTCGGGCATTGTGGATGGGTGAAGGGGCGTCCGAATACACAACTGAGATGGTGAAGTGGTCCGTCTTTGATGGGAGGTCAGAGTATTTCGAAAGCGCACAAAAAAAGGCACCAATCCTGAGCATTGAACGCCAGTCGGTGTCTTAAAGAGTTTTACAGATCACTGATCTCAGACAAATAATTCATTAGAGATGACCGCAGCGAACAATTATGTAAATCTGAGACATCTGTAGCTTTAGAGAAATTAAATTGACTGACTAACCCACTATCTAAGTAGTGCGCTGCCCCAGAACCTCATGGTAACTGAATGTTTAACAACAGCAAAAAAAGCTAAAGTAAACAAAAGTTTATTTGCATTTTTTCTTGAATCTGAGATCAAGTATGCTTATGTTAACTGCTTGAGAGTGTGCAATTCCGTGCCAATTAGTGGCATTTCTCCACACACCATTTTCAAAATCCGGGCATTTTGTGAAGTGGGTGGAAACGTCGGACAGAAGGCGGAGAGCTCGCTCGGTCGCCACCATCTGAGACGCCTTGTCGCACTTTTTCACATGACAAAAGTGGTAAGGCGCTCTTTGGTGCGGCTGCTCGCATGGCGCACCTTTTTAGGAGTTGGTAAGGGGGAAAGGATTTGTCTACTTTGGGATGATCGTTCACTGTGCCTTCGAATGCCCCATTTCATCGGAACAGCGCTTTTCTCGCCAGTACTAAATCATTTATTCATTTGGAAGGTATTTCGCCTTACTCAACAAGAGTTTGATAAGTCAATTTGTTAGTTCTGTTTTATGGGGATACTTACTTTTCTATATTTTGACCATTTTTTTGGACTAGATTTTGACATCGTCACAAGTTAGCAGACTAGTTGAAACATCTTCCTAGGTGATAGTTCATCTCCTGCACAGAAACTCAATCCCTCATATTGGTTTTTTCACCTCCGAAAAATGTAAAAGGGTACTACCGCTGATATTTTTGAATAGAAACTAATTGTGTTTTTAGAGAAATTAATTGGCAACAAATGTCTATTCGACGAGGAATGTTATGGCATGAATGCTGTATGCCGGAATGGCCGATGCACTTGCCCGACCAACTTCGAAGAGTTTGACATAGATGACAGGACCACAATCTGCCGACTTGGTATGTCCGTTCTGTACATGAAATTGCACAGTATACTTTACATTTATACTTTTTTTTCAAGGGTGAACTTCCCTTCAACTGATTTTCGCCTTAATAACTTACTTCAGCCACCATCAATAGATCGGCGACGCCCTTGTCAAAGAGACTGCAAACCGCCGCCTCTATTGTGTCGTGACGGAAGATGCGAATGTTGGGGTGGAAGTATTGTCAATGGGGAATGCGTAGTGCGTGAGTTCCGCTCGTTTCAACATCTGAATGAACCGTAGTTGTGTTTGTTAAGAAACGACTTTCGGTCGATATTGGATTCAAAATTGTCTTCTTGAAAAGTTTTCGTTGTTCTTTCTTTGGTGCTTCTAGTTTTGTGATATCATTACGGTCCTGTTCGCTGCGGTTGATGTAGGGCTTGTCACGGGTGGGGACAGTGGGCTAGGCTTGGGGCGGCGCCAGCACATTCTCCTTGCCGCTTTCTCCTCTTCACCAAGTGGAGGAGAACGAGCCGGCGCCGCTCCAAACCACCCCTCCACCTTTCACGCGTCACCATCTGCAGCAAACAAATCTATTCTTTCTCTAGGTTGTCCGAGATTTCCGCCTCCTACCTTGCACTGCTTGTATGACTTGGGAATCACACCAGGGGGTCGTATTCAGTCGTGAAGGTGGGGGGGGGGGAGGTGAGGAGGGGAGGGAACATGCCGTATCTCGCATGCGTATTCGTAGGCTGAGAAATATCTCTGCATTCATAGAAAAAAGGTTGCAGAGTAGGCGCTTATTCGTGACATCTCAGCGCTGCGCGCTTCTTTCTCATTCCCATGGAGAAAAAAAAAAAAAAAAAAAAAAAAAAAACGCGTTTGGACTCCCCTCCCTCCTTCCCACCCGCCGCCCTCCCGCCTTCCCCTCTAGGCGAGATAAGGAAGAGAGGCAGTGCATGGGGTCATGAAATGGTTACTGGGTATGTTCTTGAAGGGGGTGTTTACCCTGTAACCCCCCCCCTTTGGAAGGGGAGGCGTCGTAGAGGCCAGGCTCGAGATTTTTCCACAGTCCGGCATGGCATTGGTCGCCGGTGCGAAATTACGCCGGACAGTGTTCATTTAAATTTTCGCGGGAGAGGAAAACGTTATGTCGCGTTGGGTGGCGCTGCGAGCAAGCGCTCATACACTTCCGTTCGGCAGATGCTGGGAAGTAGCTGACGTATCTGATGTGTGCTTGCATTTCTCCACCAACTGTGGTGCCTGCCAACCTCCATAATGGTGGGAAATGGACCAACACTGAGCTAAAGTCGGCCTCCCTTACACGTCCCAGCATCCGCAACGAACAAGACTGCATATTCATGCACCTCACTGTGTTCCATACCTTCTTAGGACCTTATGCTTTCCCAAGCTGTAAGTGCTTAATTTCAGCGTGCCCGGCTGGTCAACAGCTCTACGGCGTCGAATGTACACGAGTGGCACATTATGGCCAAGTATGTGAAAAGGACAGTCAGTGTGTCGATCCATTCAACGCTTGTGTTGCTGGTACTTGTCAATGCGCCCCAGGAACCACAAGAGATGTGATGAGAGGCTTCTGCTACGCTGGTAAGCCTTTCCGTTAAGAATTCCTCCATGAGCTTTCCCAGTAAGAACGTTACATTCGTACATACGTCTTTTATAGGGGATAAAAATGTATAATAAGAGGAGAATCCTGACTCCTGCGCTGCGTTAATTGATTTTGCCCCAGTTTTTGCTTAGGCCAGTGTTCAGAGTTCAGCAATGAGCGCTGCCTCTTGTGATAGCACTCCCTGTTCTGGCAGCGCACCGTGCGAGTATCGATCGGCGTCGACTGCCGGTGTCTTCGAAGAGTATAGAAGAGAAGGAGAGTGTCAGACTGTATATCAGGCAACGCGTGCCCTCCTATTCTCCTATACTGTTTCAGAACACTACCGGCCGGCACCGAGCAATATCCATTTATAGCTGAGTTTCTGTCTGTAGGAATGGGGAACATTTGTGGAAGCGTGTCACTGCAACAAGACTGTATACCCTCTTAAAGACACATGTACGCTCATACACATTGAGGGTGTATGAGACTATCAGCCCCCCAGATGTCGATGTGTCGTGGTCCCCCCGCCCAAACATGCCCAGGAATGGAGATACAGGGCCGTGAAACACGCTAGTTCTTCCATGCTCCGCCCACTGCCTTTTTACGGCGCAGATTCCCGCCGTTCATAACATCCGTCGTAAGCGCGCCTGTCGCGTGCGGCTCCTTGGCACTTTGCCAAGTCCTTTATTTAGCGCTCTCAAATACAGGATACACGGGCAATTTCCTTTGATGCGGACAACACTGGAGGTGCTGCAAAATAAGAACAGAAGATGATGACGAGGGTCAGAACTTAAAAGCAACTGTGCCACTTCTGCAACATCCCTCGGAGGCCACGTATTTCCACGAAACGAAAATAAAAACGGCATACTCGTTAGTTTAATAAAGCAAAAGGCAATTTCCTGATGCGAATAAAATTTTAGGTGTTGCTCATGCTTCAAAATCCATGTACAAGGAGATGAAGATGACACAGGCTAGAAATGAAGCACAACGATGTAAATGTAAACAAAACAAAAATGAAAAAATCAAGGAAAGGCAAATTAGATAAACTGGCCTGTAAATTTCTACGATCCGGCGCCAAAGCCATAGAAATACTTAGAACAAACGAGTGGGACGCTTGGGCTGTTTTTATTCTCATGTTTTCTGGGAATGCGCGGCTCTGATGGTATTTCTGGCGGATGGCAGCCGAGTTGGCTCTTCGAGTTCTGACCCTCGTCATCATCTATCTGTTCTTATTTCGGTGCAGGCACCTCAGGTTTGTCCGCATCAAGAAATTGCGTTTTACTTGTATTTGAGAGCGCAATTAAAGGACTTGGCAAAGTGCCAAGGAGCCGCACGCGACAGGCGCGCTTACGACGGATGTTATGAACGGCGGGAATCTGCGCCGTAAAAAGGCAGTGGGCGGAGCATGGAAGAATTAGCGTGTTTCACGGCCCTGTATCTCCATTCCTGGGCATGTTTGGGCGGGGGACCACGACACATCGACATCTGGGGGCTGATAGTCTCATACACCCTCAATGTGTATGAGCGTATGTGTCTTTAGGTCATACCTTGCGGCAGCGTCCGGCAGCGCCAGTGGTGAGGGAAGTAAAGATATCAATGCCCGCGTTCTTCAGCGTCCACCAGCGTCTCGAGGGCTAGAGAAGTTATAGGTAACGATCACACCATAATCTCTACCAGCAGGTTGGCCACCTCGACTATCTGCCCGCACACTCTATCAGCTCACTACTTATCCTTCTTATATTGCGGCCCATCTCTATCAGCAGGTTGGCACCTCCTAATCTCCCATACTTCTATCAGCTCACTACGCATCCTTTGCGCTGCACTCATCTACGAGCAGTCTGGCTACCGCTTTCTGTCGCGCCACATGTCTCCTCTCGCGGACGCTAAGACGCTGGTGCAATCTGCAAGCGCTGGCAGTTGCTCGCAGACGCTAGATCTACAACTATACTAGCCCTCAAGACGCTGATGGGCGCTGATAGATCGAATGGACGCTGGCAGACGGTAGATCGATATCACACTTTCTAAGTCGCTGACGCTGCCGGACGCTCGGAACGCTGATGGACGCTATTGGTCGCTTGTGAAGGCTGCTGCAAAGTATGAACGCAGCCTTATATTTCGTTCATTTTTACTCTATTGGTGGCCGTCGAGTTTTCATCCCTACACGCCGTATTACGTGGGCGATTGAGTGAGTGCAGCCTAGGCAGCTGCATCGTGACCGCACGCGTCGCATAGATTGAACCAGGGTACAGCATCGTGATGTGTGTAATGGTGGGCCAGTACAATACCGCCCCTAATTTTTGGAAAAAAGGCGGATTAATCCGCCGCAGACCGCCGCAAAGCGCCCCAAAGCGCCGCTTTACCATAACTCCTTTCAAAAAGTAGGATGGGAGAAGCAACAGGTATATTCAGAATTGTCTCTGCGTGGCGAGTCTAACGGTGTATGATCCGTTGAATTTCGGTGAGTAGGTCATCAGCTTTTTCTTAAAAACCGGTCATATTCCGCTATAGGCTATAACTCAATTTGTGTGAACTTTTCTCATGAAGAACTCTACACGGTTAGACTGAGCTTCTGTCGTAAGATGGCTTTTCTAAAAACTGGAAAAGTAGAAAAATTTATCAGTGCTTCCTATCGAAGTACCCGAGGATACTCGTTAGCGAGCGAGTCTCGCTATAATTGTATCCAGAGGGTAGTCGTTGGGAATTGAATGGTTCAGGAATCGAACAATGTACTGTGCCGCGTAAGAAGTGACTAAAAATTAAATAGTTGTGTTTCCTAAACGATGCTGATCATTACGGTGCCAATTTTTCTGAAAATGGATGAGTTTCGCTCAACGCCATTTTCGGACAAAGTAGCCTTTTCAGTCCGAAAAATCTCGAGCACTGGTTAAGTTCCTGACCACAAGAAGAGCAACAGCGGGCCAAAAAATATGAGCCCTGCTTCCCGCACAAAAGTTCGGCGGATTGAAAATGAAGTAAAAAGAAGGGTTTTTAGCTAATTGAAATGACCACTTTCGTGCAATTCTAGAAAAAGTACTCAATTTCCAGCATTTTCAAGTAGGTTTTCTAGCCCTCTGAGTGGCCCCATGAATTAACAAAGCTTCACATAGAACGTCTTGTGCTTTCTCGGAACATGTTGGGGAGCACTGGTATATTCTGGAGTGGTTGATGTTACCGGGTGCCAACTTCGAGACTTCATTCCAAATCAATTTTTTCGTGTTTTCCATAGGGAAGAAATTCCCAACGAAAGTCACACCATTGGAATCCCCATGATAAATGCTATCTATTCATATGAGAATCACCTCATGGAATTTCCTACAACCTCTCGCAGTTTTCTCCGGCCATCTTCCTTGTCAGCGATCAATCGACCTCCTAAGTGGTTATCCTGCCGAGGTGTCAGGGCATTCTATTGATCAGTCTTAATAATTTCCTCCACCAACATGGTCTCTTCTGTTCACTAAAAAGAGTCATGAGTACTACCTTCCAGGCAATGTTTCTCTTATTTCAAATCTGAATTTTCATCGGAATTTCTGAAATTTTATTCTTCGAATTACAAATTCCTCCATCACTTATTATGATCGTGTTCCTGTTAAACCTTGCAAAATGGAATGAAGGATACGCCAGATTTTTCTGTGCCTTACTGCTTTAAGCAATTAAATCCTCTATAAGGCTCTGGCCCTAAATAGCTACTCAGAACTTTGAATAGAATCATGGCAAACATTTTGTAGAATAGTTTATTTGAGCCTGGACCCAGTTCATACGAACAGGTTGTAAAATCACAAGCATATTCGGTTCGTAGATAGTTGATTATGTGCGAAAAAGGTCCTAAGGATATAAGTGCAGGTACCGCAGAGGTCGATAGATGCGAACGGCTGGAGACCTTCGTGCAAACGATAACGATGGAGAGCAACTATTAATACATTGTGTAGTATGAAAATGAAAAAATTCTGTGTGTGGTATGAAAATGGTAGGTACCCAAGATAACTTGTAAACGCAAAACTATGGCGATTCCCGGAAATCCAAAACTGTTTAAACAGGTAGCATTAATGCACATCTTAAAATTGTTCGATTGTCTCCAAGTAGAAGAATTCAGCTAAACTATTCTTAGTGACTCTCCATGATCTGGAGGATCATGGAGAGTATTCATGAAAACAAATACTAATAAGTGATGGAGGAATTTGTAATTCGAAGAATGAAATTTCAGAAATTCCGATGAAAATTCAGATTTGAAATAAGAGAAACATTGCCTGGAAGGTAGTACTCATGACTCTTTTTAGTGAACAGAAGAGACCATGTTGGTGGAGGAAATTATTAAGACTGATCAATACAATGCCCTGACACCTCGGCAGGATAACCACTTAGGAGGTCGATTGATCGCTGACAAGGAAGATGGCCGGAGAAAACTGCGAGAGGTTGTAGGAAGTTCCATGAGGTGATTTTCATATGAATAGATAGCATTTATCATGGGGATTCCAATGGTGTAACTTTCGTTGGGATTTTCTTCCTATGGAAAACACGAAAAAATTGATTTGGAATGAAGTCTCGAAGTTGGCACCCGGTAACATCAACCACTCCAGAATATACAGACATGCTCGCCCAACGATGTTCCAGAATGGGGCCACATCAGAGGGCTAGAAAATCTGCTTGAAAATGCTGGAAATTGAGTACTTTTTCTAGAATTGCACGAAGTGATCATTTCAATTAGCTAAAAACCCTTCTTTTTTTACTTCATTTTTCAAATCCGCGAACTTTGTGGGGAAGAGGGCTTCATATTTTTGGCCCGCTGTGCTCTTGTGGTCAGGACTTAACCAGTGCTCGAGATTTTTCGGACTGAAAAGGCTACTTTGTCCGAAAATGGCGTTGAGCGAAACTCATCCATTTTCAGAAAAATTGGC